AGTTTCTACAAGGTGAACGGGATGATGATCCACCGCCAGTGGTGAAGCCATCGCGCAAGCTTAATTATCCACGTACTCCATACAAACGCAAAGGGAAACCCGGTGCCGGCGATGAGGCGTCCACGTCGCAGGCAACGGCACCGTGTGGAACAGCGACAGACGGTCAGGCGTCACAGAACTTGGCTGGTCTCGTCGGCGACGATGGACATCGTATCAAAATACTCTCACAAACTCAAATACTGCCTAAAAAGAGGCCGCATGCACAAATGGTGGCGGCGGCAGCTGCCGCAGCAGCAGCCGCTGAATCAACATCTACCTCTGTCATACAGCATCCCGCAGCCGATCAGACGACATCTTCGTTTCGGCCATACGCCCAGCAGCAGCAGCAGGAGTCGCCGGGTCTGGGCGCCGCACAGCATTTTGTGCAGCAGCATTGCGCGCAGTTGGGTAGCGGGAGCGGCAGTCAAGGTATGTTACTTGACCAACAGCATAATTCCAATAAGCACTCTACTATCGCAACAACTACTGCGCCATGCAACAACAATTACAACAACAACAACCACCATCACACACCCGCCGCTGTCGCCGCCGCCGCCGACGCGCCAACGGCGGCAGCCACCATCAACACAGCAGTTAGCGTGGCAGCAGCTCCCGCCGCGCCCAATCATCATCACCTTATTAATCTGATTTGGCCGTGGCAGCATTAGTCGCGATAATGACCACATCGCATCCATGTGACTCGACAGACGAGACAGAGACAACGAACCTTAAACCAGGGACATGGACACTGTGCATATGTAAAAACCGAATACATAAACTTAACTTTTAAAATTGTTATAATGCCGAATCGCAAAAGCAAAAAACAAAAGATACAACATTAAAAAAAAAAAAAGAAAGCATAAGTATTTTTGAGATGGAATACCGAGAACAAATATTATTAATTTAAAAAAAAAAGAAAGAAAAAATCATCAAAAAATAAAAACTTGTATTTTTATTATTTACCTGTGTGAGATAAACGACGAATGGCTGCAGCGGCAGTGTCGTCGATGGCTTCTCGGCTGTGGGTTTATGTTGTTGACGTAGTTGTTGTTCCGCGCGTGGCATGCATTGCCATTTTGGTTGCCGTTTCGCTCTCCACTACCACTACCACCACCACCACCACCACTTTGATGTTGCTAACTACTTTTGTGCTCTCCACAGACCCTTTAAACTTGCCGCCACGTCGGGAGCAATGCTCCCGCAAGGCCAAGGAGAGCAGCATGCACGCACTTCTCTTGAATACATCAACAATTGGGGAGGGCGGCGCGGTTGGTGAGCCGGAGGAGTTCACTGACTCGGACACGGATCCCGTTTGGACGCCGCAGGAGGAAGATGTAAGTGTATCTTGCTTGCTCGTCCGCTGTCGCTAGCGTTTCTAATCCATACCTCACCCAACTGTACCAATATATATGTAAATGTGTATCACACAGAGTGACGACGGCAAGGGCTATGGGAAGCGCAAGGCAGCGCGACGCATCAAGGGAACGCCGCGCAAGAACACATATTGTCAGCCAACAACACATTTGCAGCAGCACCAGCAGTTGCAACAGCTGCAGGTACAGCAGCAACATCAGCAGCAGCCACAGTTGCATGGCTCCAACGACGGCTATAATCCGCAGCAGGATCTGCAGAGTGGGGCGGCCGTTAGCTATGGCAGTGCGGGGACGGCATCTGCATCCACGGCCGAGAACTTTAAAGTAGGCTATAGCTTGCCGTATATACCTGTACCGTAACTATAAATTCTCTCTTCTTCTCTTGCACAGACTGGAGACTTTATCGTTTTGCGTTCGGATCTGGTTAATGACTGGCCGACCATTTGGCAGGTGGACTCCAAGTGCATATTGCAAAAGTATGAGCCGTTTCGTCAGAACGGCAAAACCTTTTACCGCAACATGTCGAAAGTAAATTGAAATACCAATATTTCTGTTCTGAAAGCTCTAAAAGTTATTTCTATGTCCCCAGTACGCATCGTGGAATCTTGAAACCAAGAAACTCTACCTCAAAGCACCCGTACGCATACAGCTGCAGTCTCACACGGAGACCATTGTGGAGTTCATGCGGTCTGAGCTGCTAGCCGATGATACCGAGCAGTTTATTGAAAAGATAATGGAGGACTTTCTGTCATATCGGGACAATTTCGAAATCTACATACAAACAATGATATCACAAGCGCTCGATCCAAGCTTCTTCTCTGAGATAACGCGTGAGAAAGGTAGATCCCTATAAATCATTTACAACAAAAGCGTACTCTAATTGCATCTTGTAATTCCAGATGACTACTTTCTGGGAAGCGTGCGTGTAATAGACAATATAATGGACAATTGCAAGCGGAAATTGTTGGCTATCACTCCATGGACACGTAGCATTATCTCGTCAATCGAGACGTGGCCCAAGTGTCATGTGTTCTCTGAGTGGGTGCAGAACAACTTGACCCAGAAGAATTGCGCTGGCTGCCATCAACCAGGCATTGCAGTTCGTTTCCTGCTATTTGGGGAGCCCTACAATCCAAACACCATGCAGACCATAGCTGCAGATGCACGAATCGTATACGAGAAGGTGAAAAGCATTTCTAGTTATAAATTTATCAATTGTAATCTTGACTGACTCTACCTTGTTATCCTACCAGGACATTGTGCTGTGTCGTATTTGTGCCGCACGTGCGGATCTCTTCCACAAGATTGCGCATGAGAAGTTCAATCTGTTTATCAATTGCTCGCAGCGCGTAACAGAGCAACAGCAACAGTGCCCCGGCAAGACATCGACGGAAATACTAAATGATTTGCTGGCCGAGCACAATTGGATAGATGAGGTTAGTTTTGTCATGCCATCTTTGGTATTCATCTAAACGGTTCACCTTTTATCTTGATAGCTATTTCGCAATATGCGCAACTGCTGGGCGGAGGTCGAGAGCCTGGAGCGGCAAAAACGCTTCCGCGAAGTAATGCAGTAATCAACGATAGGCATTGTATACTTACTGCAGATTGGAGCCAGGAGCTAGAGCTGCTCGAAAATATTTAAATGTATACAAGAACGCTGCAATAAACTCAATGAGTTGTTAGTTTATATTCATAGCAATAATTTTAAGTTTTGGTTTTATGTTAGGAGCTTTTACAAATTCATATCGCGCTCTTCTCAAGTCTGCGATCCAATACACACGGCATGAACATACTATGTTAGAGTGTTTATGCTGTGACTGGTTGTGTAGGTACACGTCTAAAACTATTGTATATAATATTATAATTCGGGTATATTTACAAGTCTCTAATGCGATTATGTTAGTAACTATCTTATAAGCTTTTATCTGCAAGTCCAATGCAAAATAATTAGATGCATACCATATATATATCTATTTAAGTTGTCCCCTTGCATGTAACACATGCGTATAAGAATGCTAGTTGCAAATAGTTTTTTATGTTTATAAACACATCCGAAACTTACGTAGAACCGGTATATGTAAGCACGCTACAAAATACTATTAGCACCTTCAGTATAAATGGATTTTTAACAATAGACAAAGACAGACGCAGAATTTATTGTTTGCGGCCTTTTATTTTTAATGTCCATGACCGAAGTAATTGTATTTAAGTAGATCTTATATATAATTATATATATGTATGATTAAATATTAGTTGTACATTTCTTTCGCTCGCAAGTTCATTCGATAATTGAAATAAATGCTTGTAAATAAAATAAATTTATATACATATATAAAATTTAAGACTTGTATCCGTAAAAGTTTTGCTCCTGAAATAATATGTTAAAATTTCGTCTTGGAAACAGGGTAGCAGCTCTTTGGGCTGATTCCGCTTTCGTTTATTGTACTTTTCCATTCTTTTCGCTTTTGCTCGGTTCGCACGGGAGGCATAGCATGGCCGCACACAATAACCGGCCGGACGGACTGTGGCCTTGACAAATCGCTTGGTCGCGCCCTCAATTCAAATTTGCTGCTGAATTTTACCTCAACCAGGAAACTTTTCTACTTTTTCTCTATGGCTACAAAAGGTAAACACCTATTCGAATTTACCGCAATACGTTAACTTTCACTATATTCTCCGACTGTCTGACAGTTTCACAATATACGCAATATATTATATGGAAAATTGTATGAAACTGAAGAGTTCTTCTGGTCTAGCTGATTCGAATGCTTAGGTATACCGTATACGTAGTGCCATAGTATATTTTTACTTACTAATTACTTAACTACATGTATGGGGCCCTATGAAACATTGTTCCTATTTTTTTAATAACCTGTGTTTATGTTTGTTTCTTTTCTCCCTTTTTTGTCCAATTGCTATGAAATTAACCGGATACATGACATGCAAAAATGCAAAGTAGTTGCTATTCGTGTTGTTTTCCACATCAAAATGGGGAGTTATAAAAAGGGAAATAAACCGCTTAACCTTGTTTACAGATTTGGTGAAGGGAGCGCTCGCGTCTTAGCCAGTTCTTTCAATGCGCTAAAAGCCGCTAAGCCCTGCCTTGGGCCGTAGGCCGTGGGCTCCTTTGAACGCCAGGCTAGCAGAACGAAAATGAATTCACAAACTGCGCCGTTTTCAATACGTGAAAGTTCAAGCCGCGGAGAAAGGTTTTGATATTTTCGCGGAGATAATCGCTTTAACCTGGGTGTGGCTGCTGTTTACCCCTGACATTGTCCTTCAGGACAGATTTTGAATTAAAGAAAAAAATTAAAATAAATTGAATTAAAAAAAATACATACACATACATACATACATATATGTATGTTAAGTGCTTGTGTATGGTTGGTTATGTGAGGAAGTGAGAGTGAAAGTGTGTGTGGAACGCGCAGCCTCCGCGCCACTAGAAAGGGGCAGCAAAAACGCGGCAAGCGCTCCATCAGCTGATTTCGGTAACGATTTTTGTTTTCTTTCATTTTCGCAATAACTGCGCCGTCGCCATCGCCAGCGCCAGCGCCAACGCCAGCGACAGCGCCAGCAGAGCCAGCGCAGCGTCAGCGACATCGACTAAAAGGATTTCCGTGCTTTCAGCTCATTTCAGTTCGTATCGGTATTCCATACAAGACGGAACGGAACGGAASGCGAGCCACCAAAAACATTTCATGCATATAAGCAATATTCGCATTGCTGCTGCACTCAACGCAAGTCGTGCTATTTAAGAACCGTAACATTGCTGCTCTCTCTGTGTGTGCGTGAGTGTGTGCGCCGCATCAGTTTGCTGTTTGGCTTCTTTTAATCATTTGCCGCCTTTATACACATGTATGTGTGTGTGTGTTTCTCCTCTGTTATGGCCGCTGTTATACACAACATATCTGTCATTTGATGGTGCAACAAAGTTCGTGTTAACGTACGTCGACAGACACATACAAACAAAACACACGTATCATGTATGTGTGTGCCGTTAATTCTACTGCCGAAGATTAAGATGAATCTGTGCGGTTCATTAAGCCGCGAACTCTTCCTCGAAGGTATGCCCACACTCATATAATTTACATATTTTCTTTAGCACATCAACATGTCCATGAAATGTCAGGCGCTGGCATTTGTTTTTACTTTCGCTGTGTGTATTTGCTTAAGTGTGTGTATGCCATTATGCATACGTGTGTATATCTTCTTAGCTGGAGGCTTAAATCGACAACAGCTTCTCCTTATATTATTGTAATTATTATTTTTTACTTATATACATTTAAATATTTGCTAGTCACACAGTTGAATGTGATGAGTGAAAATATGTATACGTACGTACATATATATACATATATATGTATATGCATCTATACTGTCTACATATTTATAAATATAAATCAAAACAAAACACCAAAATTATTTCGGGACGAGTGTGACCGACTCCCAGATATGCTACACACACACACACACACACACACACACAATTATTATTAACAGATCTGCATCTGGCAAATCTCTAAACAAAGCTCTTAGCATCTTCATTAATCATAAACTGCATTCTCTGCAGGTCGAGTATATTTGACAAAACTATTTACATATATGTATCTATTAATGTACAGGGTATACGTGCGCCAGCACTGCTGAAAGCCTGTCGAAAAAGTCATTTCACAATCTATTTTATTGTTGTACGATACACATTCCTCTCAATTTGTAGAATAGAGACATTTCTGTGGGGATTTCGTGAATGGCGAAAATTGTCTTTTGGCTTCTCCGTAATATCCGGCAAATAAGCATTTCCCAGAAATCTGGACTCTTAACTCTCGCCAATCTCTATTGTACAGCACACATTTGGTAATTATTCGTTAGATGATGTCATTAGTCAATCTGTCCTGTCATTATCTGGCCATGGTCCAGAGTTAAGTTGTTGTCCGTAAGTGACCTTTATCATAATGGAAATAATTGAAATAAATTGTGCCGTAACTTGCATATCCTGGCTAAAACAAAAGTTTTCCCCATAATTAGAAGAGATGGCAGCATATTAGCCTAATTTTCTCGGCCGTGCACAATTACCGCATAATATGATTATGTTTGACTTTGCTCTGATTGCGAAGGGAGGTATGCGAGTAAAAGAATATTTCCGTGTTCCATCAAGGCTGATTAGCGCATTATGCGAATTATTTCCAAGAGCTCCAAATTGGACATCGGGGCCAAAGTTATGTTCAGCCACCGGAAGGTGCACGGAGAGCACGTTGGAATTTGTTGAAAGTTATAAACCACGGTTAATAAAATGCGCCGCCCGTAAACAGCATCCAATTTCTCTTTTATTGCTTTGCGTGTTCCGCTTCGCAATAGTAAAAAGTGAATTTGTAATCGATATTGAGATATACTTTTCCAATTTGATGGGCCAACTTCAAGCCAGGTGCCGAAGTACAGAAAGCCAATTAAAAGAAAATAAGTAAATATAAGAAAAGAAGAGAAAATAATGGAGAAGTTAACTTATAAATCATCCTGTAAGTTGGAAGGTTGACGGGCTGACAGCACCTTTGCTCGGCTAGGGGATACTTATTGATCGACCCTCGCGTTTGATGCGTCTGCAGCTCGCGCACTTTTTTTTAAAGAAATAATCTTATTTACAAATTGGAAATTAATTTAGAAACATTTTCACTCTCTACAAATTGAATTTTGATAAAAGTTTCGCAGGCACTTGCCTGCGCCATGCCCCATGCCGCATGCCACATGCCCCACGGCTCCTGCCACACGACTTTTGACGCCATTTTCGACACGATTTATGCGTGTTGTGGTGCTCGTTACCATTGGGGCCAGTCGAACGCCAAGCAAAGGAGCCAATAAGCCACGCTGCGGGTTTCTTCATTTTGCGCACTTTGTTGCAAGACTTTAGCCGACTGTAGCAGGTAGGGAAGGCTTTGCTCTGCCCTGCCTTGCTCTGCTGTACGGAATACGTGTGTACGTACGGGTTGCCTGCAGCTAATGTCCTGCAAATTCTTCATTTTTTTCACATTGTCTCTCGCGTGCTCGCTTTTAAGGCTTTTATCTATCTGTTGATGGCCAAATTATTGGCTGCATGGGGAAATGGAGCACACAAGGGGCAGCATCATCTCACACGCTCTCAACTACTCACACACACATCCATACACGGACTTACACACCCATCAGCCTTTGTCATGGACAGACATTAATTAACACCGATGACACCCACAACTTAACAAATAAACGTTAAATGGGCGAATGATATTCGCTTCAGGGACTCTGAGCATATTATGTATTCTCTATAGTTTTTTTTTTTAATTTTTCTTTTTTTTAGCTTTAATCATTATTCATTCAACTGCACAATAAGCAGACTTCCGTTAGCCAACGCCAGAAAACGGATGTAGTGTTTTCTTGTATATATGTATGCATGCATGTGTGTGGGTGTGTGTTTATATACATGCATGGGTGTTGGTAATTTAGTTTAAACTGAATGCAGATGACGAATATAGGATGTGTATATGTATTGTATGTATGTGTGCTTGAGCATATATGTACATATAAGTATATGAAGACGAATGTATGTGTGAGTCTATATGCTGTATAAGTGTATGGTAACTTCGTATATGTAGGTTAGTATTTAGATAGACATTAGCTAGCTTAAACTAGCTCATCATGCAGTATGTAATATGGGGGTTCACATATACATATGTACATACATACATGTTCATGAGTATGTATAGTACTCGTAAATACGGATGTTGTTTGCATACATATATGAATGTATGTACGATTGAAAGTAAATATGAATATGTGTGCGTGTGTGCACGTTATGTATGCATGCATGCAAATGAAAATACGAGTGCATGTATGCACACATATACATATGTATGTACTATGTATGAATGTCTGTATGGATTATGTATGAATTCATGTATTCATTTACTAATGTATGTGATTGCATGTATTCATGTGTGAATACATAATGTTTTCCATGTATTTAATTCTGAAAATACGAGTGTTTGCCTGCATGCATGTAAATACATGTGTAATAGAATATATGCAACTATGCAACTATTTATGAATGAACGTAAGTACATTCATGTACATATGTACGCAAGCATTTATTTATATATGACTCGATGTATGTATGTATATAGAATACACGTAGTATGCTCGTTATTATGATAATTTGCAATTGAGTATGTAAGTATTTATGTATACATTTATGCGTCTAAGTATGTAGACATACATATGTATATATACAAGCATGTACGTGTGGCGATCTGGCATCACAATAATTCTCGATCGATACTATCGATAAAACATGATCTCTCAATTACCATMATTAGTAATAAGAATACATAYAGACACTTCTTAAGCTTCAGCGCGACACATCACATGTACATATTACATCAACCTTAATCAATACAATTTAAGCAAATCATAGCTGTGTTCCAATTTAATACAAATAAATAGTGACGCATACATTCTCCACAAAAACCAACAAACAATATTTTCATAAATGGGAATCCCCACATTCACATACATTCATCAACAATTCCCATATACGCAAGTAAATTTGTATTTATATATTTATATATAAGAATGTAACTATGTATGTACCTACATATGTAATGTATATTATACATAGCCATTCACATAGATATATGTATATGTAGCATACCTTCATGTACATAGGTTTATATGTATGTCTGGATAGATCTATGTACATTTGCAGGTGCATATACACATAGGTCCATACAGACCTTTATTTAGTTAGCTTGAACGGCATACAATCAAGGCCAGAAACTTTCGGCTGAACGCCTAAAAGCAAACTCTAAAAATTGAAGCAATTACACACTCTGTAATAAGGTTGATGTGCTGTTAGCCCATTTGGGCTTACAACATGCTATCAACAACTCGCCATGAACGTAATTGTTGCTATAAAGCGAATTTCCCTTTTATTTACTTTCAGTTAACCGCAAGACTTAGATAAATATATATTTAAGTAATATGATAAGTAGACCGAATTGCAGCGTAGGCAATAGACAAAACGGAGGCAGCGAGAGCAGGAAAAAGTAAGTGCCGAGAGATACGAGTTGAGGGACGGACAACGCACTTTCCGGCGACTGGTATGGCCGCATCAAATTACGCCGTGCGGGGCATCATAGGGCAACACACTCGTACCACATGGCACTAAAACAAAGCCCAAGGCAAACGCAAACACTCTTGCATGTGGCATGACTACGACCACGATTACGACTGCGACTAGAAGCGAGTTGTGTGTGGAGCTGCAATTAAGGCAGACAGGCCGTGCCGGAGGCCGAAGACAATAGGTGCGCCCCATAGTCCTCGTCCTCGTCCACGTCATCGTCGACCTGTTAGTGCTCTTCAAGTTATACAACATCCACGCCACACCACGCCACACCACGCCACACCACGCCACACCACGCCACGACACGCCACGGCACGGCACGGCCATAGGTTAGCGCCTGTCCGGGCTTAGCCAAATCCTAAGCGCCAACATGTTGCGCAGCTGTGTCTGCCTGCAGCGAGCTGGCGGCGGCGGTGGCAAGCGACGCAGCTCCTCCGTGGAGGACGCCTCCTCGTGCCGCTCGTCGGAAATAGAACGTATCGGTGCCAGCATGCAGACAACCACACTGGGCACCAATGGCCAGCCGCAAACGCTCGCTCCTCAGCCAAATACGCGCGCATCCAGTCTGCTGCAGCTGTTCCACAGGAAAGGTTGGTGCAAGCACTTCCGCAAACCGCTCCGAGGCATGAGCGCAACGCGAGTCGAGAAATGTGAGTACCAATTTCAATTAATTAAATTCTATCAACATCTACTACAAACATGTAGAAGGTAATAAAAATAAATAAAGAAATAAACTTGCCTAGTTGATCTAGCCTCCCTGCGGTATTTCCCGTATCCGATTGCAGCTCTTAAAATACCCTTTGCCTTCTCTTCAGCAGTTGCTAATGCAGAATTTTAAATCTCGATCTGAAGTCTGTTTGCACTCATTAATTTTGCAGAGTGAGGCATTAGGTCCACTCAGCTGACGGCTGCGACAGCGAGCTTTGTTAATTGTTGTCAATTAGTCAGCCACAAGTCGACGATTTGTTCAATCAGCCATTCAGCTTGTCAATCGTTCAACCAGTCAATTAGTACATTAATTAATCAAGCGTTTAGTTAGCCGATTACTCACTCTGTCAGTCAGTTGGTAAATTAAGCAGTTATTCGATTGGCCCAGCAAAATAGGCAATAGACAGTCAGTCAAATAGTTGACAGGATTAGTCAATCAGTCATTTATTGCGTGTGATGTTAGTCAATCACTCAGTCAGGGAGTTATTTAACGGGTCAATCATATTCGTGTTGGGAAATCACAGAGTCCTTAGCAAAGTTCACTCAATCAACTATTGTCAGTCAGTTTGTAAGTGAAGCAACGATTAATTCAATCAGTTTTGTCAATCAATCAGTCATTCAATCAGTCAATCAGTGTTTCATTCAGTTATTATAGCAGCCAATCAGATATTCAATCATTCAGTCGATTAGTGAGTCAGCTCCGTCAGCTCTTTAAGTTGTCAATCGGCTGTGTCATTCAATCAATAAATCGAGCTATAAATCAATCCTCAGTATTTCAAACAGTTAGGCACTTTGTCAGTCATTTTGTCATTCATTGAATCAGGCGATTTGTCAATCTATCAATCAGTATAAAAGCAGACAATCAGTTTTCCCGAGCAATAAACCATTCAATCAGTAAGACAGTTTGTCAATCACATAAAAAATGCATTCATTGAGCCATTTCAATCAAATATTCACTCAGTATGTTCATCAAGTCTGCCTTTAATATTTAATCAGTCAGTAAGGAAACCAATCAGTATGCCAGTTAATTATAGCAAATTAATAGTAAGGCATTCAATCAGCTTTGCCATTCAATCAGTCAGTCAATCAGGTTTAAAGCAAATCTGGCAGTCATTTAATCATTGCAATTAAATTAAGAATCAATTAAGAAGTCAACTCGACCGTTATCAAGCTATCCATCGGGCAATCGATCAGTCAATCACGACTGAAATATCTATTTCAAATCTATTTTTATCTGTCATGGTAACACCTACGCCTCATCGTACGTAATTTCCTGATATTGATTTGTGGAGGGTGTGGGAGACACTTCAACCAAAATATCGAACTAAACCTGATCTGGAGAGCGGAGAGCGATTGCAGTCCTTAAAACAACTAAGTGGTTTACTTATTTTAACACTCAAAAAACAAAAAATAATATAAAAACAATACCAATACCATGTCCGACACTACACTGACCTCCCCCCACCGCCTGTTGGCCCCCATCCAATTTCAGCCTTATTTCCAGGGGTCAGCCCCACTGTCGCGTTCTCAGCCGTCTGTATTGTGTTACAATTTGTGCGGCTCCCCAAACGAATTTAGCAGACGACGACAGCCAAAGCCCCAGACCAGCCCCCTCCCCTGGACACTTTGCTTGACCACATTGCTATTGACCAAGAGGGGGCCAAAATCGACTGGGTCGACACTCACATAGAACCACAGACAAATATAGGTGGCACAGGGTGGGGACACGGGGAGGGGGCCGAGGGGTGTTTCCACTAGAGAACCACTGAAATACCATTTGCGGGTCATTCGAGTCGCAGTCTTGCATGGGATTCCGCGTGAACAACAGTGAAAAGAGTGTTTCCTAGTCTATAATAATTGATTTTTACAAGTTCTGAATATATAAAGCGACAGAGGCGCTCTGTGAAAGTGCTAAAATTATATATATATAAATGCAATCGAAGTATCATGATAAGTCGGGCAATCAACTATAGCTGACCGATCAATGGGTTGTATTGAAAGTAGAAAAATACGTAAACAAAATTTAGAAGAATGTATGCAATGCAATCTGCAATCTGCAATTAAAACACCATAAAACACTCGGCCTTTGACTGCTATTCAATAAATGTTGTACTATTATTAAATAGTTTAATGAATGTTTCAATTTAGTGCCAACAACAACAGCAACATAACATAACAGAACAGAACAGAACAGGACAACGACAACACACATTATAGAGACACTCTTGTTTTAGTACTCCATTCTTCGCCTCTATTACATAATAATGGACGAGAACGGCAAGTAATAATTTAATTTGTAGGAAGCACATGCTATACACACGCATATATATATACATATGTATATACTGTATATACGTATATGCAGTTTGTGCTTAGAGGTATGCTATGCAGCCCTTGCATCCAAAAACGTTAGAGCAATCATTCAATTAGGTTGTCCGTGACAACTTTTGCGTCCTCGACTCCATTCCACAGGAGTTTCAAGGACCTCGAAAAAAGCGTGTGCACCTAGACAAATACAATGCGAATTCGCTGAAGTGCATTTTAGAATACTAAGTGCGTTGTAGTCCTATTAGGTTAAGTGCATTTCGGAATTGAATTACGTTGCCCGATGTGAGCTGCGGCACAGCTAAATAGCTAAACTGAACGCAAATAGACTTTTGTTTTCTCTATTCGATATCAAATTACTGTAGCTCGTAGCATTAAATATTAATGTTGTGTAAATGCAAATGGAATATGGCAGAATTATATTGAGTTCCTTTCAATTTAAATGCAAAATTCGTTTCAGCTATCCGTGCGGCAATATTTATTCAAAAATGGTTCCGCCGTCATCAGGCGCGTCAGGAGATGCGAAAGCGTTGCAATTGGCAGATATTTCAAAATGTGGAGTATGCCTGCGAACAGGATCAGGCAGAGGTAAGTAACTGATGCGATAGGCATGTATAATATATGCATATGCAGTAAATCTATATCTGGATCATATAGAAATTATTAGTTTTGTATTAGTATGTATTTATGTAGGGGCTAAGCGAAAAGGATAGCATTTTCTGAATTGACTTTCTACTGATTGACTCAATTTTCATTTAGAAAAGGGTAAAAAGGGTTTCGTAAATACAATGTAAAGCAATATAGATTTTTGTTGTTTAGGCCCGGAACAGTCGAAAGAGTCATGGCTGTTTATCTGTCCATCTGTCCATGCCATATCAAAAAGGTAGAAACTTGATATTTAAAATATATATTATATTAAAATATGGATTAATTTAGGTGTGCAGACAAGTTTATTAGTTAGTTAGTTATTGTTTTTAATAGTTTAAATAAAATCTAGTAATAAAATAAAAAATCTAATCAAGTAGATTTTGAGAACTATTGTTGCTCCTGCCTATGTGTGATAACTATTCTTGCTTCTGTCTATGTGTGCGGTTGAATCTTCTGTCTATCTATGTAGAAAAGAACTCGCTCGAGTGAAATTGTGCTTAGAATATATCCGATTTATTTAAAAACATTACAATTATCTTATAATTATTTGGGAATTGTTGAAGCGAGTTTGAGCGGCTGAGAGTATGTACGACTTGATAATATTATCTTATAACTATTCAGGCATGATTGAAGAGATTTTGAATCGAACGTTGAGGAACACCTCTGACATTATTTCTAGGCGTAAATATAATTGCGATTTCAATCAACAGTTTTCATTTTTGTATACCTTAATCTATATTTTAGTTAGGGTTCAGTTAATGCAATTGCATACAAAATGCTTTCGGTTCGGCTAACCCTCGTAAATAGAACTAGTCTGCTGGAATGAGCATTAGCAGAGAAACTCGGCCAGAATAGAAAAGTGCATTTGTTAAGATTCGAAAGTCGATAATACTTAAATGAGCTAAGGAACACACATACGCATGTGTATGCATGGACTTACATATGTAGAGAGATATGTTGAGGGAACTTGTTATATAGGTCACATTAAATATTTGATTGCTTTCTATTTTCAGCTGTACAAGTTCTTCAATGACCTTATCAAGCACATGCCTCAGGCCGCAGAGGCAGGAAATAAATCAAACTCACAACGATGTAAGTCCTACAGCTGAGTCTATTTCACTCCCCTCCAATATCTGATAACTGATAACAATTCCCAATAGGTTCTGGCTTGGAGAAGAGTGGTACCTTGTATGAGGAGAGCGGCGATATGGCGCGCATAGAACTAACAGTGCCCATAACGAAGAGCCAC